AAAATAATATATGCTATCTGTACAAAACACGCATATTAAACATTGCCTGAGTACATCAAGTCTTACGGCATCAAATATGTGGGGGAAGATTTATTTTAATTTACGTAAACTTCGTCCATCAAAGGCCTGTTCTTTTTTAGTGTTCTGTATGACGACAGGTCCGTTTCCTCGGCAGATGATCCAGAAGTGGTTTGCCATTGCCTTCTTCTGTGTGAATGGAGTAATTGTTGGGATGCCACGGAGAAACCGGGGAAGCCCCCGGAGGAAACCTCCGTGATGCCTAGACCACGGCCTTGCCAACACACACATTAAACATTGCCTGAGTACACCAAGTCTTACGGCATCAAATATGTGGGGGCAGATTTATTTTAATTTACGTAAACTTCGTATATTAAAGGCCTGTATACATCTTATATGTAACAAAGTTACATTTCCACAGCAACCAAATAACAAACTTTACTGATGCATTGTTGGAGACTGTTTACTGGCATCGTCTAAGAAGCAGCTACAAGACAAGGACGTGAACCAGCACAGACGAACACATAACACTTCTGATATATTATATTAAGAAAGGTTAGTGGTAATTTAGTTTAAATCATATAAATAATTGATAAAAGATAATCGTGAACAAGGTAACATCAAGGCCTTTGAAATCGAAAATCGTGTAAATACTAACTAAATGGCTTACCGGACACAAAGGTTCATCACCGAATTAACCAAAGCCCTCCACCGGTCCCTGTCCTGGGCCAACAAAATCCAGTCTCCTTTAACTCCTATCTCCCATAGACCCGCCTGAGATTATCCTCCCATCTACGTCTAGGTCTCCTCTAGGCTTCCAACCAATACCCAGTGCACAGCTCTTGTTCCATCCATGCGCGCTACATGCCCAGCCCATCTCATTCTTCTCGACTTAATCACCTGACAATACCGGGGGAGGCGTACAGATTTTTAAGCTCATCATTATGCAGTTTTCTCCATGCCCCATCGTCTTCTCTCTTAGGCCTAAATATCCTCCTCAACACCCTATTCTCAAACACCTGCAATCTGTGTTCCTCCATCTGAGTGAGAGACCATGTTTCGCACCCATACAAAACAACAGGCAAAATATTTTGAACTGAGAAGTAGCAAGCATTTCCGGAATTTAGTCTCCTCCTAACTTCCTCATGAATATCATTTTGTTTTGTTATTGTTGTTCCCAAATATTTGAATTTTGTAACACTCTCAAAGGATTCATTAGCCACCCTAAGATAATTTTGCCTGCCTGTCTTCTGACGACGAGATACTAACATGTACTTAGTTTTTTTCTGAATTTACTTCTAGCCCCACCTGTCTACTAGCCTCTAGTAAAACTTCTGCATTTTTATTAGACTCACTAGCTTCTTTGGTGTACCAAATTCAATAAGAATATTACATAAAACTTCTCTCTTCACAGAGTCATAGGCTTTTTTTAAATCTATAAATAATTGATGTACGGTCTCAATGAACTCTCATTTTATCTCTAGTATCTGACAAATGCAAAAGATCTGATCAATCGTTGATGTGTTTCGTCTGAACCCACACTGATGATCCCCAATAATTTCATTCGCATATGGGGTTAATCTTGCCAAAAGAATGTTTGATAGAATTTTGTATGAGGTTCATAGCAGAGAAATTGCTCGGTAATTACCACACTCAGTCTTGTCCCCCTTCTTATGAATAGGAATAATTATGGATTCCTTCTTATCCCAAATTAACTGAATAAGCTTATGGATACTGTCGCATAACATCTTATATTATCTTTCTAGCATGGGACAGATAATATATTCAAACTGTCCCTGTTGCGACAACGAACCAAGTCAAGTAGCAGCTGTGAAGGAAGGCTCCGTTACGAAATTGCTGGCCGTGTTTAAAGAACTCGATCGTGTCTACGCAAGTGCGAAAGGTTACTCCGTGGACGATATCGCTGGTTATATGCGTAAAAACTTACATACTACAGGAGACGTTGAATCTCAAGTTACAACCGCTCTGAATATTGCCCTCAGCAAACGGCTGATTGGACGCAGATATCGCCGATATATTTTCGTCGGTCCCATTGCTAGCAAGATGAAGTACAATGCGCCCAAACCACGAGTGCGTTTTCGTCGGCCTGTAAGCGGGAAAAACAAAAGAAACAGAAGACTGGACATCTCAGAAAGGTCACCAGCACACGAAAGACGCGGTGCATCTAAAACTGATATAATGGACAGAGAAGATGAATGTGTTTGTCGGTGCCATAATCCTGATGGTAATGGTGTGGATAATACCGAGAGCTTATCAGTACAACAACAGTCCTCAAGTAGCAAACTCTTGTATAATTTTATTAGATGTGAACACACACACACACACACAGTGTCCAGAGAAAATAAAATTATAAATGAGAAATGAAGAAAATTATATTTTGGCAGATATATTCTTTTTCATAAATTTAAAATACATCTGGGGCAGCAAAAAGTTAAAGCTAGGAGAGATTGCGCGGTAGAAGAGTTTGCGCATGTCTACATTCAGGTGGAAGGGGTAAAATGCGCGCGCAGCAACGTGAGGAGCAGTAATCACTCCACTCGTAGAGGCTTCAGTTGAATTTACGTGTCGATGCATGCGGTTCTCTGTGTTTTATTGCCAATTTTCTGCTTGTTCTGTAGAAGGCAAGTGCTTGAAATTTCAGGAATGTTTCGTATATTTTCATAAGAAATGTTTCACCTCTAAATTACTGCAAATAAAGTAATTTCTAAGTTAGTTCTTTGTTGAGACTAGTGTTTCATGCCGTTGCGAGTCACTGTGGAAATTTTCATACCGACCACGTGGGTGCGCAATCTTTCCTACCCAGTGAGGATAGTTTGCGCTGGATTTTCATTTGTTTCAATGGGAGGAGAGATTAAAATAAACTTGTTCACTCAATTAATTGCAAAATCAAACAAAAATGAAGTATGTTCTTTGTGTTTTCATCTTATCTACTGTGTTTATCTGTATTTTACCTAAGTTGCTGAATAAAATTGCATAAAATGAAACATTCAATACCTAGTTTGTTTTCGAAGCTGTTTTTCTAGTGCAGAGTATTACTAATTATTTTTGGTATTTCTCCTTATAGGTCAGAATGCCAAACGTTTATGTGAGAAAGTCGAATAAAAGGTATTGGTCAGAGGATTTGCGACGCTATAAAAATGACTCTTTCACCATACGCGATGCAAGTAGACAATTCAATATTCCTGAATGCACCTTGAGAAATAGGCTAAAGAGAAATGTTTTTGAAAAGCATGCTTTGGGTCCAGATTCGCAAATAGGTGTCGATACGGAAAATAAATTAGCCTATCACATAAAAAAACTTCAGGCAGTTGGGTTCGCGCCAACACAACGCGATATAAGAATTATGGCATACTCTTTAGCAGAAAAACTAACAATACCGAACAGAAGATGGCCGGGAAAGTTTGGTTCGTATCGTTTATGCGGAGAAATCGTGATATAAGTGTCAGTAAATCGCAAGGAATCAGTCGAGCAAGAACAGAAGGCATGAATCGTGAGAAAGTTACGAATTATTTCAGTCTTATGACATCTATTTTGACCGAAAATGATCTGCGGAAACCAGGCTGCATCTGTAACTGCGACGAGATTGAGCTACAATTGAATAACGAACCCGGTAAAGTAACTGCAGCGAAAGGCAGTTAGGATGTCCATGTAGTCACCAGCGCCGAAAAAGGAGAGACAATCACTATTCTGGCTTGTTGCAATGAGGGGGAGGGCAATTTTTACCCCCTTATTGTATTTTAAAAGGCGTTTACGCAAAACCTCAATATGAGAGAGGCGCACCACCAGGTTCAGTAATGAAGATGAGGAGAGAGAGCGCTTATATCAGCAGTAAATTATTTACGGATTGGATGATTCAACATTTCATCCCCACGAAAACCGCCAGGTAAAAATTTCCTGATACATATGGCCATAGTTCTCATATGAACAGCCCAGACATTCTGCAAGTCGCCGCAGATAATGATGTTATCACCCTTTGCTTGCCAAGTCACACAACCCATTATCTACAGCCTTTGAATCGGGTTGTATATATATAACCTATTTCAAAGATGCTTGTGGAAAGTTGGTCACGGCTCGACAATGTACAGGAAGAATTACAATCCTTTGAAGTAGATGCCCAAAAAACAAGGAAACACTGAACCACCTCATATTCCTAGCACACCTTCAGTCACAACTCCGTCTTCCATCCGTTCCAACAACCACATCTGCCCAAATTCCTGTCTCTCCTGAAAGCACACACCTGTTTTAGACGATCGTGTAACAGGGCAAAATTACTTAGAATTTCTGCAAAATGGATTACCAGAACAATTAGAGAATGTTCCTTTGGCTACACGGACTTGTGATGCAACATCTCAGTGACACTCCTTAATCGGTGGATCGGTCGTGGTAATACCATTAACTGGCCAAGAAGATCTCCAGACCTAACCCCTTTAGATTTTCGACGTAAATACGTCTATACGGAAGGGTCATTCGGCAAAAAGGTGAAAGGAAAATGTGTAAGATGGTTACTTACGAAATATCAACAATTTACCTACGAAACGTCATCTGTTTACTGTTAATGATCCCGAGTACATCAATACTCAGAAAGAAAGATGTACATGAACGTAAAAGAAAAAACGAAGCAGCTTTAAAAAATAAGAAAATGTCAAAACATAAGACGAAACAAGGAGTGACTGTGAGGTCACGGCAATCTAAATTAACAAGAAAGAAACAAAGTACAGGCCGTAGAAGGTTGAAATATGATTCTCCTACACCATCGAACACATCTGGCGAAGTCAGGGATGGAATGGACTTAAAATGACCGATACTATGACCTCCTGGGACACTCGGTATAAAGTTCTCTCTTAGTTTCATTTAAAATAGGATGGTTGTAGTGGACCGACAGGGAATAAAATTAAATTCGTCTGAAAATTCTCCTCGGTGGTGTAGTGGCAGTGAGCTTTCCAAGGTTAGCGGTTTAGTTTCATTTAAAATAGGAGGGTTGTAATGGACCGACAGGGAATAAAATTAAATTCGTCTGAAAATTCTCCTCGGTGGTGTAGTGGTAGTGAGCTTTCCAAGGTTAGCGGGTTCAAACCCGGTAGAAGCCCATGGAGTAATGAAAATCCTTCTTCGGGGAGATAAAAGACCGTCGGTCACATGTCGTAGATTTACACCATGCAAATGATTCTTACGAAAATGAAAGAGATGCCTGGTAAGCAAAGTTCAGTGGACACATTCCTCACCAATGTCTTCCTGCTTCTGCCAGATGCCTCTGACAGTCGAATCAGGGTCGAATAGAAATTGCGCAGAGGCAGCATGCTTGCCACCTACTACTCTAAAGCACTAAAGAGGCAAGTTGACCATTTTAAGTGTATAGAACAGTGAGGAATAAGAATTCTCAATGCAGACTCCACCAACTGGAATTTCGTTCGGATATCGCTGGTCAGTTTACACAGTAACATGGCCTTTAAATAAAATTTTGTCTGAATCCACCCAGCGGACCTCGTGTAGAATCAAATGGACGGAAGGTGTGACACACACGAGAAGCCAGTCCATAATGCGTTCTCCCTAAACAGTTTTATGCTGGGTGCGGCAGAAGAAACGCATGTTTTTCGAATGGCTAGTACTCGGCAAGGAGGAGGGTGGGGGATTTCCGCCCCTTGCTAGTAGACAGCTTAGATGATGCAGTTTAAGTAGCCAAGGCACCGTGGACCCGCGAGCATCGGGTGTTTGTCGTTGAAAATTATATCAAAAATGGTGAGTTACATTACTGTACTCTTCCATATTGGGCATTCCAAAGACGCTCTTTGTCTTCGGCGTAGAGTTAAGTTTTATCCTAAGTGTAAGAAGTATGATTTTCATAAACTTGTTAATAATGATGTAATGATTGATCGTGTGAAAGAGATGAGTCCTAGTTTGTCTGCTTTGTGTAAGCGAGTGTATATTGGTCCTTTGTTTGGTTCCAACTTGCCCGCTAATACTGATGAAAGGTATTATATGGAAATTGTATTACCTTACAAGGTGTCAATTGTAGCTTATTACACATTTGCCAATAAAACATTCAATGAATACCGTTTGTTAATTGTGAATATAGGGATCCTAAAAAAATTACCTCGCAATACCTTTGTTACTTAGATGTCACAAGGACTGCCAGTGGATGTCAGGAATTGGGCGCCTTTCCGTTATTTCAAGGATGCAATTGGACATTTCCAGTACTGGCGTCTTTTGTTTTGTAGTTATTTGCAAAATAATGATAGGTGTGTGATAGCAGCGTTCTGTTTTGGCAACGGGTGTGATGCATATGTTAATAGCAGCTTTATGGCAGATAAATCATATGAATGAAGATAAAGAACGAAATATTCGTTATTTGTTTCAGTATTGGAGTGATTTAACTCACGGATTTCAGTGGAGGAGTGAAAGAACTTATTATATCGTTGAGAATCTGAAGGTTGAGGATTTGGATGGTGTTCGTAAAGTTGGTGGGCCTGGTCGCTTTAGTGATAATAGTCATTACAGTCAAGCTTGTATTTCATCACTTCCTGATAAGATAGCAAGAGCAGAAAATTCTAGTAATCCACAGCTGTGGCCGAGATTAGATAACGACTAGTGTTTAATTTATCTGGCCACGCCCTAAAGAGACTTGCCAACGTCTGACGACCGATATCGGTGCCACTGTGACGGCACGAACATCGGTCGATTCGGCCGAACTCGCCCGATCTTTTCAAACCTGTTGGAAGGCACGTGCGTGGTCTCAGTGCAACCGATCTCATCGGCCGATTATAGCAAACGTCGGACGGTCGGGCGAATTCAAATCAGTTTGTTTTTTTCGGCCGATGTATGATTCATGTGAGAGATACAAAGATGGACTGTGAAAAATTGATAAGTTTGGTGCAGGAAAGAAGAAGTTTGTGGGATCCGCGATGTGGTCAGTATCATAATAGAGATGTAGCTCGGAAGCTGTGGATTGAGATCGCCACTTCATTGGAAACTACAAGTAAGTATTGAAATTATTAACATACACAGATATACAACCATCACACATAATTAATTATTAATTCAACCATCATGCAGTGTGTTAACAATTGAATTGTCATTTCTGAAATAATTAACGTAACCAACAAAGTTTTAAGGTACATTTGTGACAAGAAAATATTGTTTAAATGCATCGCGAATTTCACAAGCTCTCCGTGATGACCGATTGAAACGTCTTGTAGAGTTCGCCTGGTCACTATCATTGTTTTCATGGGTTGCGTTGGTATCTGATAATACAGACTCACTTATTCCTTCTGTATCGATTACGATATTGTGCAATAAGCAAACGCACTTGACAACAGTATCAACGTGACTTGGATGTAGCTTATGCATCGTATATCTGCATGCATCTCACTACAGACAGTGTTACAGTCAGTGAAAAATATTTCACACGGTCAGTATTCAACCAAGAACTCAGAACATATTTTCACCATATTTAGCGAAGTCTCTTACGTTTTAGAAAAGTTATAAAATAAAATAAAGTAATTCAACTTACACAGCTTAGTGGCATTTAAATAGACCAGTAGAAAGCCGTAGTGGTATTTAAAGTGGGCCGCAAAGGGTTAATGAATTAGAGAAAAACAAAGTTGCAGGACTAGGGAACTGCTGGTGAGAGCATAAAAGGTGACGACGAGGCAGATGAAGGACTTCGCTGACATGGAGTAGCTTGAGGATGCTGATTGCTCTCTATCGTAGACAGCTCATGGACCAATATATTTTGGACTTGGCTCCGAAAGTTCAGCTTATTAATAAAAGGAAGTTGCTTGACGTGAGGCATAAGAGATTTGAAGAAGTTCATGTCCTCATCATCTTTACCAAACTTCCCTCGTAGCAACGACAGTTTCTTAGACTCGATATCTAACAATTCCTTCTCAAAATTTGCAGAAGTCGTGGTGGGCTGCCCTTTACGTTTTTTCGATCGAGGAGAGAAAGTTGCATTAATTGGCCCAGCAACATCGGTAAAGGAATTCTGAAGCTTCTTTGACAGCATTCCTCTTGAATTTCGGTTATCAAACGTTTCATTTCTTTCGCAACTTGAGGCCTGGGCAGATTCACTGTCGCTTTCGTAGGCATCAGCTTCCTCTTGAAATTGAGCACCTGTGGCAAATATGTTGGAAAAATCGGGATCCTCAACATTGCCTTCGGTCGGTCTTGGTGTAATGACAGATCGCAGAAACAACATAGCATCGAAGTGAGGCCAAGTCCCTAGGTAGCGCGGGGCCTGTTCTGCACCATCCCCAGAGCGGCTTTTCGGTACCTTTTTGAACTCTCTGCGGAAAGTGTCTCGCAAGTTTTTCCATTTGGCCTTGACTACCTCCTCTGCATATGAAAAGACAGAGAAAAGAATTTACAAATAATTTTCTTGATTGTAGGTACTTGGCTACAGGGATACAGTTCAGGCAACTTGCTTATTCATTCAGAATTTCGAAAAGTAATAGTTGTGCAAGTATGCAAAGCTATTTGGAAAACGTTACAGAAAGAGCACATGCCAGAACCAACAGTTGCACATTTAGAAAAAGTTGCAGAAGGCTTTTGGAACACGTGGCAATTTCCCAATTGTGTTGGGTGTATTGATGGTAAACACATAAGAATAAAACGCCCATCAAATTCCGGTTCCATGTATTACTGTTACAAAAATTATTATTCCATCGGCTTACTTGCAGTCACAGATGCGAATTACAAGTTCATCACTGTGGATGTTGGCTCTTTTGGAAAAGACAGTGATGCTGGGGTTTTTGACAACTGCCCTCTACGTCGAGCACTTGCATCAGGAAGAATAAAGTTACCAGAAGAAAAATGCTTGCCAGGTTCAACAATCAAGGCACCATTTGTTTTCCTTGGCGATGAGGCCTTTCCTCTCACAGAGTACCTCATGAGACCTTTCCCACGAGGTCAATTGCAAGAAGGAGGAGAAAATGAGGAGTTTAATTACAGACTGTCGCGAACTAGGATGGTAGTGGAATGTTCTTTCGGAAGTATTGTCACAAAATTTCGTATATTAGGAAAGGCAATTGAAACTAACGTACAGAATGCTGTACAGATTGTAAAAGCTGTAACATTACTACACAATATTATTAAAGATTTTGAAAGCATCACTGAAATTGATGTGCAAAGATTTTCAGCTGTGAGAGCAGATCCAAGGGCATATATGACAACATCAAAGAGGAACAATGCGTCGTCACGAAGGGCTGCTCTTACAAGGCACGAATTTTGCAGGTTTTTCAAGCTCCACCCTTTAAAGCGAACATAATTCGCCTTCACCACTTCACGTTATGAACTTATTATTTCTATTGTAATCAGTTTTTTAAAAAAAAAATTGAAAAAATACTCACTTGTTTCTCGTACATTTTCTGCGATCTTGCTTCATTCCCTGTCCACAAGCATCCGATTATGATAACTGTTGTGTTTCATGTCCCAAAAAATGCGTCTGCTTTTCACTTCACTAATTATAACTTCCGCTAACGTTTCTGCCATTGTCATCAGATGCAGCGCACACAACTTTCCAACGCAAGAGCCTTCCCTGTACTGCACGGTCACAGCTTTCCTGCGCATGCGTCTTCCCGGCCAGCGCTGCGATTCGCGCGAAAATATCAAAATATTTGATCTCG